CCCCCCTCCCCTAAAAAAAACAAAAAAACAAACAAACAAAAACCCCTCAATGGTGACCAGCAGTGGCATGTTTGTAAAATTGTCCTGCATTGGTGTAATATTGTGTGTATTGGTATTCTTTGTGTATATAGTTAATTTTTCATTATATATTTATGTAAATGTATTTCTGCCATTGTAACCCAAATTTCCCCATGGGGATCAATAAAGTGCAACTTCTTTTAATAATTTTTGTTCTAATAAATTCAAACAAACTTTTTCTCCCCCCAGAGAAGGCAAAGGTGCTCAGCTGCTGACCAGCGCAGACGTCCAGGGGATGAGTGAGAGAGGAACCACAACCCTCAACCACCTACAGCAACTTTTTACCTATCACATGGTGCAGAACTTTGGCTGTGACTACTCCAGCAGTGGACTCGAACTCGATAATCTGCACAGCAAGGTTAGACGCATTTCCTTTCTTTGATTTTGGAAATTATAGCCTTGAAGGAGTAGACCGTATTTTGAACTGAACTTACAATACTGTTATTAATGAGGCCAAGTGTGCAAGTATGACATTGTTCTGAGAATATTATTCAAAGTGTTGGACAAGAGAATGGAGTTTGATGAGGTAGACTTTATTTGTGAAGTGGCTTTTTTTTTTCAAGTTTTATTTAGCTGAAAGCCGACAGAATTTGGCTAGATCAGAATGTTTCAAAGCAAGCAATTTAGGTTTGTGCACACAGCAGACATTAAAATTTCCTGAAAATGGCTCAATACAAAATTTCCAGTGTCATGGCCAGCTAATTAGACCTTTAAAAAATTTAGAGTGGGATATTTTTTTTTTTTTACCTCTCCCTTCATCTTCTTTTTTCTTTTGCCCTTCTTCTCTTCCGCCATATAATTTGTAATTTATGTTGTGATATGGCAACTTTCCAGTGTTAATAAAGACATTATCATGCATAACAATGAGTTTTTCTGTCTCACTGATGCTTAGTGGTTGGTTGTCAGGTGTTCTGGTGTGGTTTGCTCCTTTTTTCCGATCAAACATCTTTCGTCCTCTTCTCTCTTCCTTTTATTTGCATGTTACTGTCAAATAATAAGTCTAATCTTCGGCACATATATGACCTTTTTTTGTTGTTGAGGGTGCCGTAAAGCTCTAACTACAACTAAACGTTGTGATTAATTCCTGCCATGATATGGCTATTTTTCAATATCAATACAGACATTACCACCTTGTGTGTTTCTCTCTGACTTGATACTCAATGCTTGTTTGTTTCACGGCTCTAGTTGAAAGCGTTCTTTGAGCGTCGCACGTCAGACGGTCCCAGGTTTGACACCTACCTCCTGTACTACAGCGGCGACGTTTTTGACACCGGGGACTGGGCACTGTCAGGTACATGCAATAACTACTGCTTTTGTCTTTTTTTTTGGATGATGTGACGATGCAACTGTCACTGTATTTGTTTGTTTGTGTTTGTATACTCTTTCGTGGGTGGTTGGCTGGTGCTCTGGTGTGGTTTGCTTCTTCTTTCCTTTCAAACATCTATCGTCCTTATCTCCCTTTCTTCTTTTTTATGTTTGTTACTCTCTTGTAACACCTCTAATCTTCTGGTGCTCATATGACCTTATGCAGTTGCGAACGCCGTAAAACCCTCTACTAAAAAAAATAAAATAATAATACTCCTTCATAGGTAAACAAAACTCACAAAAATTAATCTAACTTGGTAATCGGGCCTTAAAATGGGTTCCCCGCGTAACTTTTGCTAATTTTGGGTCGCTGATCACGAAAATCTTATTATTTCTTAAATTTGGCCAATATTTAAGAAATTTTTGGAATGCATTTTTAACTCCGCCTAGGCCAACATCAAAGAAGCCGCCTTATGCGCCGGATGAGTCCCGTCCTGGTGCGGTGTCTGTTTTGAAGCAAAAAACTCGACTGTGGGGTGGGACAGCCCTAGGCCTAGGCCTATCCCACGACAGGACTATAATAGTGCGGTAGAGATTTAGATTCTTGCCTCGATTCTCGGAGTCTAGGCTAGGAACCAGGCTAAAAAAGGGAGACGGGAGGCGTCGACCCTGGGCGGACTCGAAGCTTAGTAAACAGCTCTGTCAGTGGGAAGTCTGTCTTGTCCTGTTGCAGCGTGTCGCTTTCTCTCTCTACTTCTTCATGGGGGTTTATTGTTATCTGTCTTGTGATCTGTTCCTGGTAAAAGGTGGTCGTTGTCGTGTCATCTTGTTGTAAACCACAGCTCATCATCATCGTCTTTGCCATTTGTCTTTTTGGTCATTCACTGTACCTTCCACTGTGGGAATGCTGACTTTTACATGTGTGTCAGTAACTGATTAGCAATGGGATTTGAGGGAGGGGTGATAAGCAGCATTCATTCTGTTTTTTCAGTCTTGTTCTTGTATACCCTTATAAACTACCACCATCATCATCATCATCATCATCATCAGCATCATCATCATCATCAGCATCATCACCACAATCATCATTGTCTTCTCTTTACCTCTGCAGTTTATGTCTGTCTGCCTTTCTCTTTCCCTGCACTAGACAACCATTGTTGTGTCAATGTTCTTCTTTCCCCCAAAATCAAATGGTGCGGTTTGCTCCTTCTTTCCTATAAAAAATCTATCGTCTTTATCTCCCTTCCTTCTTTTTTGTGTTTGTTACTCACTTGTAACACCTCTATTCTGCGGCATTTATATGATCTTATTGTGTTGCAAGTGCCGTAAAACTCCTACTAAAACTTTAAAAATCCTTACTTTTCATCACTGATGTTGTCATCTCTGCCTTCTCTTGTGCAGACGGCAAGAACTTGTCCCTGGCCATGCTGCTGAAGTGGTGGGAGGAGCAGAACCGGGACTCGGGCTCCCGCCTCATCCTGCTCCTGGACACTCAGAGCTCGTTCCGGTGGGCGCAGTCAGCGCCAGCGGTCAGCTCCTCCTTCCTGGCCGTGCAGTCCTGCAGGTGAGTGGACAGTTCACGAGTTTTATGGCACTGACAACTACATAAGGTCATTTGAGCACGCAGGACATAAGTTGGTTGTATTCTCGTCAGCTCACAGCAAGGCTTGGAGGAGAGATAAGGACAACAGGTGATTGATAGGAATGAAGGAGCAAGAAAGAATGGAGTGAAATATTTTTTAAAAACACATAGCAAAAATTTCCGTTTTCAACAAATTGCGACCTCAGTGCTTTCTTGTCATATCTCTATTTGTAGTAACAGTGAAAACAGTTCTGGAGTGAGCTTAAAAATATGTCACATTTTCACTGTTTAAAAAAATGGAGATATGGCAAGAAAGCACTGAAGTCACGATTTGTTGATAACTGAAATTTTTACCTTTTTGGTTTTTTAAAAGATATTTCAACCCATTCTTTGCTGCTCCTTCTTTCCTATCAAACATCTGTTGCCCTTATCTCTCCTCTAAGCCTTGCTGTGAGCTGACATGAATACTACCAACTTATGTCCTGTGTGCTCATGTGACCTTATGCAGTTTTGAGTGCCATAAAACTTGTACCTAATAAAACAAGACATTTTGCTGGTTTCCTTTAATTTTTTACCTGTGTGTGTTTATATGTTGTTTGGGAAGTTGTAAAATAGGGGTAGATAGAGAGGGTTTGGGTAGGGGTTTGAAGGTATCCTTTTTCAAGAAAGTTGGAAACTGCTTATTGTAAGGTAAAAATTGTTGATGTAATCCCCCTTTAACGAAAACAAGCCAAGAGAACACTTGGGGTTGTTGTTTTTTTTGGCTTTTTAAATATTTTTAGGAAAGCCTTATCAAACTGATTATAAAAACTTTTCTTTCCCCTTTCTGTCATGACAGGTACATCAACCGGCCTGAGACAGCCGAGGAAGGAGACAAGTACGGTGTGGGCAGCTTCACCCGAGCCTTCGTCCAGTTCAACAACGGCCTGGAGGTGGACATTGACTGGAGCTCGCGGGTCCGACCCGTGCGGGCGCTGTACCGCGTCTCCCGCAGCTGGGCCCACTTCTCCTTCCACCTGCCCACGCGGGAAGACTTCGAGGACTACTGGCGGGCCAACTTCCCGCCCGTGATGAAGCCGCTGATGAAAGTGCTCAACCTGCCCAGTCTGGGCTCTCCGTTCTGCTGCTGCCGCTGCGTCCTGGGCTGGCTGCGACGGCTGATGATGCGCTGGCTGCCCCCGCAGCAGTTGGACACGGGCCACGGGCTGCAGCTTCTCAACACGTGATTTGTTGTCTCGTGTCGTGTGCAACTGGTCTGTTGTGTCGTGTGCAACACCAGATCTGTTGTCGTGCATTGTGTGCAACACCAGATCTGTTGTCGTGCATTGTGTGCAACACCAGATCTGTTGTCGTGCATCGTGTGCAAACATCAGTTCTGTTGTCTCGCATCTTGTGCAACACCAGATCTGTTGTCTCACATCGTGTGCAAACATCAGTTCTGTTGTCTCGCATCGTGTGCAACACCAGATCAGTTGTCTCACCTAATATGCAACTGATCTGTTGTCTCACATTGTATGCAACTGATCCGTTGTCTCGCATTGTATGCAAACACCAGGTCTGTTGTGTCGCATCGTGTGCAACACCAGATCTGTTGTCTCGCGTTGTGTGCAACTGGTCTGTTTGTCTCACATTGTATGCAACAGATCTGTTGTCTCACATTGTATGCAACAGATCTGTTGTCTCACATTTTATGCAACTGGTCTGTTGTTTGTCATCAGTAGTATCCAGGAAGAGTACAGGTGCGCAGGGGAAAGGTTGAAGTTTTCTTTTTTCCTTTCCCCCCAAAATAAATGGATGTTATTCAGACTCATAACTCATCTGAAGATGGTTTTTCTTTCCATTACTTTTCCTTTTCTTTGGTTATACATCAGCATTGTCAGGCTCTGTACATAAATTACTTTGGCATAGGCAGGAAACAGCCTAATTTTTACTTCGAAGTCACAAAAGGCGGAGTGTCAAAGCTTATTAACTCTTTATCTCCGAGGGGGATGAACCCACTACGCCGGGGCCCTTTTTTGGTGCTAAATCTAAAAATGACAGAAACATCATTAAATGAGTCATAAAATCGAAACAAGCAGACCTATTTTGATAGTTCTACATCTAATGAATGAACGTCCGGTATAAGAGACCTGCACAGTCTCTGAAATCCCAATGCCATTGTGTACAGTAAGTAGTGTGAAGTAAGTTTGAAAGGCAAAGATACACACATGGTGCAGAAATAGGTGAATTTAACTTTAAATGTGAAGGGCAAAGTAAAGTTGAATAAGTTTATTCTTCGAGAAGGAGAGGAGGGAGGCAAACGGCAAGATAGAGGGAAGAGGAGAAGATGCTCCTAAATTATCTAAGGCGGGCCACCCGTTGTCGAGGAGAAAAGTGGTTTGTCATAAATGGGTGGACGTCTTGTACAGTTGTCATTATAATGTCAAAACACTCGGGGGAGGACATGAGAAGTGGCTGTTTTGTACAAGTGATTGCTTTATACTGGTGGCCGTTAGCTCTGGTTCGACTGCAATTATTATCAGGCTCAAAGGGGATGCTGGTTATCCAGCAGTTTGTCTACAGGGTTTTGTCTTGTTAATACAGGTTACAGGTTATGTGTCCGGTCTCAACAGGGTTGTCATCTCAGTGCAGGATAGGGCACAGGCAGTATTGCATACGGACGTAAGTCATTTTTGGCGGCCTTTGAGATCTGTCTGTATGCAATACTGCCCGCGAGGGTCTCACAGTGACCGACTTCTGCAGACCTACTAGTACTACTACAGTTGGGCAGAGATAACGCAAACGTGGAAAACTCAAAGTCACAGATAGTTCGTACAATTTGCTGTTCCCCAACTGATATCGCTTTAATTTTTTGTTATCGCTGAACACGAGAATGATGGATGTAATGAACGCATTTGTCAATCCCTGATGTGTTTGAGTTATCCGTGCCCGACTGTACCTTCACAGCTGTCATTTCTGTCCTTTTTTGCACCATCTCAAGTTCTGTTTCATGATGAGAAGAACCAGTAATAGTGTTTGAGACGAGGGTACTTTTGTACATGTACATATGTATGCTTCAGTTGTAAGTACATCAAATGGTTCTATAAAGCTTTACATGTTCACATATTGTCGGCAAGTTGGAAGAAAGCTGTATGGAAGGCTGATTGGAACTCTGTTGTTCGGAACTGAGTGTCTGGGGCCCATCTTATGTAAGGCGACAGAAGCAACATACACTACGTGTATTTCCTAACTAGTACAGTCTGTTGTTTCAGTCTTGTTCCTCATACCAGTAAAGACCAAAGAATTACAACATCAGGGTTTGAAACTACACGTCTTAGTAGACCTTATTGTATCCCTTACATTGCTGGAGTTATAGCAGAGTAGTTCATTTCTTAAGAGAAAATTGTATTCCCTTTAGATGCACACCTTACTACAGAGTACCTGCGTTACAATCTATGGATTCTATTAGTTCGACTTAACTTTTGTGAATGTAATTTTCCTGTTCCTACGCATGTGTCCAGGTATTTGTAGGGATTTTGTTTTTCTTTTCTTTTATTGTGTTTTCGAGGGTAATGATTAGTGTTTAGTCCAGGTAAGAATTATATTTTTAATGCAGTGACCGGCTCTTTTCACGTACATATGCGAGTGAATGTGGGATGGTCACATGTGGTATTCTCAAATGAAGGTGCTGAATATGAAGTGGTTCTACTTGTTTGCACAATCGTATTCGTTTGCTCTCATATATTTTAGTATTTTAGTTGCTTTCTGATGTCTGTGTTTATGTGAGTATATATGTGAATATATAATTTGTTTGTTTGAAAGTCTAAGTGTGTTTATATGTGTGTATTCTTTTATATTTTATGAATACAGTCAAACCTGACCAAGAAACCACCCGGCTTCGATGAGGAAAGTGTTCATATTTAACAGGTGGTCCTCTTGGACAGTGTCATTCTAATATAGAAAAAATGTAAGGGAGGAAGTGGGAAGTGATCCTTTATGCAGGTGATGATTGTTTTTGGCGTGTGGTCGTAAGAGCAGGTTTGACTGTATATCATCACTGTCTCTAATTTAAAGAAAAACATAGAACCATATATGTCTGTTTGGCCTTGCTTGAGAAAAAAAAAATTGGGCAATCGCTCATTTTTAATGTCAGAATTATATGTGTGTCTATGTTACGTATGCGTGTTATTTATTTCTGTGCGTGTGTGTGTGTGCTTATGTGTTTTCTTATGTGTGTTTGGCCGTCAGTTTGAAATAACCTCTGCTTCATGAACATTTGAAGAATGTTGAGTTTTTTATCATTTATAAATGTCTGAATGAGATTGTTGCTTATTTTGTTTTGCCCGCATGTGACGTCAGAAAAGATGCACAATAAGGGCCAGAATTTATTGAGGTTTTAAACATTCCTGATCTTGCACATTACTTAATTCAAAGAGATTTGTACAGCTGATGTCTTTTCTCAAGAAGTCTTTCAGTTAACAATACATTATAACTTACAACAGTAACATAAAACGTGTTCTGACTAAAAGAAAATCACTCCAAATATTCTTCTTATTAATTTAAAAGCAGAAACGACTTCAGCTGACATTTGAATGACTCAAAAGATTTGATCTCTCTTAAAGTCCTTGGTAAAGCATTCCAGATCTTGGGGCCTTGGTATTCAAATGCCCTTTCACTCATTGTTTTAGGTTTCATTGATGGTAAAATAAATTTCTTTTTGTCGGCTGATGACCTTAAACTGCGAGTTGGAATGTACTGTCTTAACAGATTTAATAAATATGATGTCGCACTATCATTCAAACATTTATGACATAGGATGGCCAACTTGTACACAATTCTTTTCTCAACAGGAAGCCAATGCAATATCCGTAAAAGAGGTTTAGCAGAGTCTCGCTTTCTTTTCCGTAAAACTAAACGTGCAGCATTGTTTTGGACAGTTTGAAGTCTTTTACTTTTAACTTCCTCCAGTGATATTCTGGATAACAAGGAGTTACAATAATCGAGATTTGATAAAATTCAGCTAGTGACTAGTAAAGCAGTATGACAATGACATTGACAATCTTAATTCATCTCACAGGGAGAAATTTGTCTTGGTCATTAACAATGGTAGTAGACGTTACAAAAGTTAGACCTTATGGCGGGGTCTTACAAACTGAGCAGTTGGTGATTGTGTTATCAGTGGCTGAATGGGCACATTGAGTTTACATTTCTATATGATTGTTTGATTTGTTGGCTCATGCGTCCGGCAGTTGTACAGTATATATATATATATGTAGCTGAAGGAATCTCTGCCATTTCGCTACCGTAGAATTACAAAGATCTATTGGACATTTTTTGCCATTTTGAGTTACTTAAGACCATGAGGTCAGAAACGAAATGTTGCAGCTCCTCTGTCAAAATGCTAAGATTATTTGGAATCGTTTTCAAGATATTCCAAGAATTTCATATATGAAAATGCTTGACATGTTGCGAAACTCAAAAGTTTTTACGTCAAATTTCTCAAAACTAGGTACAGAGCTGGAAGAACTTTGTTTTTCTAGGGCAGCGTTTTGTCACTCTTGTCCCTCATGCTGGAGGGATGTGTTGTGTATTTTTTCTGAGTGTTGCTTACCGTACTCCCGTTGGGGTCAGTGGTTTCCTTACTGTGGGTTGAGACTACCTACAACGGGATTTGTCCATATATTTGTGAGGGTTTCAAGACTTTTGTCTTTCACCTCTTTTCGTTTTTTTACTTTCTTCAAGGAAGATGGATGGTTGATGGATGCTCTGGTGTGATTTGCTCCTTTTTTGCTATAAAAAAATCTACCGTCCTCATCTCTCTTCCTTTTTTGTGTTTGTTACTCTCTTGTAACACTTCTAATCTTCGGCACTTATATGACCGTATTATGTTGGAAGTGCCGTAAAACTCTTACTAAAACTAAACTAAACAACAAGGGGGTTAAGTCTGTGTGATGCTTTTATGTGACTTTTTAACCTGAAGGTAATAATAATAATAATAATTATAATTATAATAATAATATTTTTTATTTCGTCTATTTTTCATCTGGTATCCTCATTGTCCCAAGACTGAACCAGACTTTGACTCAAAACCATATTGTCTGTGATAATCATTATTAAGTTACTTTGAGTATGTTATGTTTTGAAAAACCATATAATTCCAGTCCGACACCAATGTCTTGATTTTTTCTTGTGAAGGAAATCAAAATCCATTTTTTGTGTGTTGGTGTTGTTGAATATAATCTGTAAACAATCCATTGGATTTGAATGTAACAACTTGAGTTACACTCACAGTACTGTGTGAAATCTGTTTTGTTTTGAGTTGACCAGACTTTGATTTAATTTAATCGAAATACACTTTTCCTTCTGAATCAAAACTTCCTCTGTGAAAGAATCTATTTTGGTCACAGCAAGAAAATTTAATGAAGGGCACCACTGGTAGATCCTACTTCTTTACTTTCTCTCTGTTGTTTCTGTCTTACTTTTTTTTACCCAGCACTAAATGACCATTATTGTGTCGATGTGCTTCTCTTTACTTAAACAGAAAAACTTTACAAGATCAGTCGCGCGGCTGTAAAAGAATGACTTTTTACATGTAATTCCAGGAGCTTGATTTGGTACTCCCAATAATGATATGTCAGTCTTTGATGCGGTGACCATATTTGAAATATTCAAGATTTTGACTGTTTGTACCACAGTAAGTCCCTGAGCTACTCAGGTTTGATCCTTCACTGAGTTGTTTTTGTGAGGAAAGAGACTTGCATTTGCAACTGTAGTTTATGGGGGTGTTTTGTGTGCCATAAAACAGTGGCTCCTTTATCCTGGTCATATTTTAGGAAGATACC